GGAGAAGAGCCGTATGAGTTCATCACCAGTGGCCAATGATTTAATCAACCACACCTGTATAAAAAAAACCTCCCTAAGCTTCCAGAAGTATAGGGTTTGAACAGCTTCCCAAGAGCTGACACAGGGAGGAGCAGGGAGAGAGGGGACTTCAAGAAGGGTAGTGTTTCCCAGAGTGCTATGAGCCACACCAATGATTTAATCAAATCCCAGGAGAAACTTACAGCCAGTTAGTTAGAAGTTCAAGAGGTCCTGACATACCAATATCTACAGTTAGGGGAGTCTTTCATCCTGAGCCCTGACACAACCTCCAGTTAGGTAGTAACAAAGTTAATTTAAAGGATACTCAACTGGAGTTGCTGCAGAACTGCTTTCTTGCTGACGGAGAGAAATCTCGAAAAGTTTGGGATCACAAGAGGCTTCTGTGTTGGTGAGTGTATAGGAAAAACTATGTGTGTTTATTCCTGTATCTTCAGAACCCTGGACTCACTAATCAGACAAAGATGTCCAGTGTCACCACTTGAATTCAACATTTTATTGAATTATTATTGAATTCAACATCTTCTCTGTAGCAATATTAAAGGAAAAAGAAAAACATAAAAATTGGAAAGAAAAAATGCTGTCATTATTTAGAGACAATAGGAAAGAAATTTTTTAAATCTATGTGAATTAGTAAGTTAAAATGTCAAGGTCTTTAAAAGATCAACATATGAAAATTTCTACTGCATTTCTATCCTAGCAAAAACAAAACTTAGAAAACAGCATTCTAAAATTATTAGCAATTGGGCTGAGACAGTGGCTCAGTGGTAGAGCACTTGCCTTGCATGCTTGAGGCCCTGGGTTCCATTCCTCAGCACCACATAAGCAGGAAAAAAAAAAAAAAAGCCGGAAAGTGGCGCTGTGGCTCAAGTGGTAGAGTACTAACCTTGAGCTGAAGAGCTGAGGGACAGCGCCCAGGCCCAGAGTTCAGGCCCCAGGACCGGACCCAAAATAAATAAATAAATAAAATAAAATTATCAGCAAACATCAAGCTCAAAAATTTATAAAATATGAACAAGGCTTTTACAATGAAACTGTTTTTAAAATTATTGGACTAAGCCAGGCGCTGGTGGCTCATGCCTATAATTCTAGCTACTCAGGAGGCTGAGATCTGAGGATCGCGGTTCATAGCCAGCCCGGGCTATGAACCACTAGAAAACCGGAAGTGGTACTCTAGCTCAAGTGGTAGAGCGCTAGCCTTGAGCTGAAGAACTGAGGGACAGAGCTCAGGCCCAGAGTTGAAGCCCCATGACCAACCAAAAAAAAAGAATTATTGGATTAATAAAAGTCCCTTTTGTAATGAAATGTGAAATGTTTACAATAAATGACACCAAAATAACCCCACAAAGAATAAAATAAACTTTGACCCACCTACACTTCAGAAAACACAAAATAATCAATACCAAATAGATCACAGACCCAAATGTGCAAGTTTTTTTTAAAGACTATATGAAGAATTTCTAAAAATATTATTAAACATGTTCATGGCCTTCAGGTTAGAAACATTTCTTAAAATGAGCACAAAAAGCACCAATTTTAAAGAGCAGTTAATTAATTAAACCACACTAAAAGGAAGAACTACTTTTCAATACAAGATCTATAAAGAGAAGGAAAAGCCAAAACACTTTTTTATACACACACACACACCTCTCCAAGAGATTACTTATACAGTAAGCCAGACAGCCTACCCACCCAGCTCCTACCTCCCCAATCCAACCCCAAAATGTGCTCATGTCCCAAATGTGCTCATGTGAAGTAACATGAAAAGGTGTTGAACTAAGGTAGTGATAAGAAAATGCAAAATGATACCACATATCATTATTCATCAAATAGGGGAAGTTAAAATGAATGAGCCAAGTGTTAATGACACTGAAAAAACTGGAGCATCATTCACTGAAGGGAGCATACATCAGTAAGCACCTGGGAAATTATTAGGCACTATGTACTAAAAAAAGCTAACTATGTCTATTCTGTGACACATAAAACATAAATGAGTGTGTATAGTTCACAAAATACATGTACATGTGATTACTTTATTCTTTGGGGGTTTTTTTTGGGGGGAATGGTCCTGGGATTTGAACAGAGTGCCTCATGATTGACAAACAAATATTCTACCACTGAGCTATGCCTCCAGCACTTTCCTTTTTTTCCTTTTTTCTTTTGGTGGCACCAGGGATTTAACTCAGGGCCCTGTGCTTGCTCAGCTGGCATTTTACCACATGAACTATACTTTCAGTCCAGCATTTGGCTGGTTAATTGGAAATAAGGGCCCAGAAGATTTGTCTGCCTGGACTGGCTTTGAAACCATAATCCTCCAGATCTCAGTCTTCTGAGTAGCTAAGGTTACAGGCATGAGCCACTGGTATACAGCAACTGCATTTTTCTAAGTGGCCAAAAATCAGTTAACAACAGGCAATACTAGTATAAATAAACAACATAGGGTATTATTCATACAAATGAATTTTTCATTCATTTATTTGTCATTCACCCAATGAAAATAAAGCCAGAAACAAGCCGGGTGCCGGTGGCTAACACCTGTAATCCTAGCTACTCAGGAGGCTGAGATCTGAGGATCTCGGTTCAAAGCCAGCCTGGGCAGGAAAGTCCGTGAGACTCTTATACTCCAATAAACCACTAGAAAACCGGAAGTGGCGCTGTGGCTCAAGCGGTAGAGCGCTCACCTTGGGCTGAAGGGCACAGGGACAGCGCCTAAGCCCAGAGTTCAAGCCCCACGACCGAAAAAAAAAAAAAAAGCCAGAAACAAAAGACTCTAGCTTATAATACCACTAATACCAATAGACTCTGGCTTACAATGCCAATAATGTAAAAATAGAAGGGCATGTAAATTTATAAGCACAGAGTGTCAACAAGGAAGCGGTTAATTAGAGAGGGCAAGGAAAACCTGACTGATTACTGGAAACATTCGAGATCTTGACCAGCATTATGGCTACACAAGTACATACAAATGAATCTCTACAAATCTATTCAGCCATATGTATTTTATATAATTATAAAAAATATACAAATATTATTATATAATATGACCTGATTAAGTATAATTGCAGTAAGCATTTTACATTAGATATTATATAAATTTCTGTAAATAATGTTAATAGTAAATATATATATAAAGTTTGTATAAAATACATTTTAAGACAATACACACATACATTATATTTATATAGTTACAAATATATATATATATTTGACAAGTAAAAATGGGTAATTTATTGTCAGCAGTCCTCTTTACTAAAGAAATACTGATAACCAGATATGGGGCCCAGCTAGTTGGAAAGCAGAGACAGGGGTACTGAGGTTAACAGCTAGCCCAGGAAAAGTTAGTATTAGACTCTATCTGAAAAACAAATTAAAAGCAAAACAGCTAGCAACATGGTTACGGGGGAAGAGCACTTGAAGCTCTTCCAGGTACAAGGCCATCAGTTAAAGCCGCAGCAGAAAGAAAGATGGAGAGATACAACAGAACAGTCCACAACAATTGGAGGGAAAAGGTCACTGCCAGGCAGATGATATGGCTCTTATAAGCAAAAACTGAAATAAATAAAAAAGAAACCAATTCTCTCAGAAAATAACAGATCAAGAGAAAATATAAAGTAGATTTAAATGCACATTTTAAAGAAGAGCTAGATATCCATATATCCTAAGAACCTTTCTCAATAAATTAGAAGAGATAGCAAATTCAAACCAAAAAGAATAAAATATTAGTGAGCAGAAAGTAATAAAAGAGAAAGCAAATCTATAATAGCAAAACTCAAAATGCCAATGGCTACGTCATTAAAAACAATATAAAACTGATAATGCCCTAGGCAAGACAAATAAAAGAAAGAGAGATCACTAAGTGGCCATTTGAATCAACAAATGACCAATACAGTATTAAGATTTTAAAAAGTCAGATGTGGGGCTGGGAAGATGGTAGAGTGCTTGCCTTGCATGCCTGAGGCCCTGGGTTCAATTCCTTAGCACCACATAAGCAAAAAGAAAAAGGCCGGAAGTAGCGCTGTGGCTCAAGTGGTAGAGCGCTCGCCTTGAGCTGAAGAGCTGAGGGACAGCACCCAGGCCCAGAGTTCAGGCCCCACGACTGGACCCAAAAAAAAAAAGTCAGATGTATGACTAAGACTAAGACAAATGACACCTAAATTAAAAGTTCACAGACTCTTCCTTCCACTTACAGAACTAAATATATTATTTTAAATGTCCACTAACAATCTCCAGTTCCAGCCAGCCTTACCTCTGAAAACTCAGAAGCACATAAGTAAAGAGTAGTAACTATCTTCACAAATTCTAGAAAACAGTCAGAGGTAACATTCTTCTAATGACCAGTATAACTAAGACCCTGACTGATCATTAGAAACAGGAAAATTTTAGGCCTATTCCTCTAAAAAAAGAGATCCCAAACACAACAACAAAAATCACTCAAAAACAACAGCATACCAAATCCACTCACAGATGAAAACAGTAATAGATTCTCAACCATGCTGGGATTATTTTAGGAACTCGATATGAGTTAAACATTTGAAGAATCAACGCCATTCAATACAATAACTAAGTAAAAGAGACAAAAGATGCAGATAAAGCATTCTATTAAAACTCAACTAACATAGCTCACTTTGTAAGAGAGAATAAACTGGAAATTGGTTCTAAGACAGGAGAAGCCAGAGCTCTAGTCTTTTCTAACAAGATAGAGCAATTTAAGACAATGTGGCATTGGCATGAGGACAGACAAAGCAAAGGCACAAAAAGGAGTCCATAAAATTGCTCCTGTGAAGTACACTTAACAACATGAATTTCCAAACTGAAGTATCTCATTCAAAATGTTAGTATATTTCCTGATCAGCCATATCAATTACAATAGCAAGTAATTATTTCTATAATTTTTCTGAAAACTGCATAAGACATTTTCGAAAACAATTAGCAGACATTCTATAAAATCTTAGTTTATTTCTTACCTCACCAAAAGCTCCTCGACCAATAACCTTTAATATTTCAAAGTCTTCTCTATGTAATCGCATTTGTTTCACCTTAGAAGTAAATGGTTTTGCTGAAAAAAAAGAGCAACATGAATTACTTTCTTACTGAAACTGATACAAATTACATATGCAATAGAACAGAGTATTATTAATACAACAAAATTTCCAATTTAATTAAGAATTATGCCAAAGTACCTTAAAATCTCATCAAACTTCATGAGAATGAATGATTTTAATTTTCTTAAGAAAGCAATATATTTTTTTGCTTATATAATCCATTGTGGTAAGGAACAATTTTTAACACCAAAAAGCATGGATTAAAGCATAACAGTAAAGAAGTAAAAATAAAACCCATTTATTCTAATCTTAAATATTCCATACATTCTAACTATTAAATATTTTACCACAAAGGTCCAAGGAGTTTTTTAAAAAACAGATTTCATGACACCAGATAGATCTAAGCAATCTCCATCAGGTAAATTAATAATTCTCTCACACGCAATTATCTATGATTACTTAACGTGCCTTGGGGAAAGGGCAAAAGATAGTAACAATGACTGGCATATTTTTAAAGATAATTATGATATCCTCCTTCAAGAAGCTCACAGTCGGAAGTTGACGCTGTGGCCCAAGTGGTAGAGCACTAACCTTGAGCAAAAGAGCTGAGGGACAGTGCCCAGGCCC